GGCAAATTAAGGCGCGCCGACCTTCTCTAAGGCTCCTATAACGGTAACTACTCACCTGAAAATGTCCTAGAATCAGAGAACCCTGGCCCCAAACCCCTTCTTCTGGGTCTCTAGTCTTGTGGCTAAGAATCGGTTTTCTTTTGACACGAAGCCGGTGCCCTAAGAAAAGGGTTTAGGGGTTTAGGGTTAGGGTACCCTAAAACCGTAAACCCTAAACCCTAAAACCCTAAACCTCGAAGCCCTAAGCCCTAAAAACCTAAAACCCGAAACCATAAAACCCTAAACCCTAAACCCTAAACCCCTAAACCCTAAACCCTAAAACCTTAAACCCTAAAACCCTAAGTTGGGAGCCAGGCTTCCCACAAAAGGGCCCAAATGCAAAGCACTTTCGCCCCTCGAAGACCACCGACCCGTCGACCTCGGGCAGGGTTCAGGGTTTCGGGTTTAGGCTTTAGGTTTTAGGGTTTAGGGTTTAGGGCTTCGGGTTTGGGGCCCAAGCTGCTCAGCAGGTTGGATTGGCATTTGCGGGCGAAGAAAGGGGCTTTAATACTTAGAAAAGGGTTTAGGGTTTAGGGTCTAGGGTCTAATCAGGGTTTGGGGGTTAGGGGTTTACGGCTTAGGGGTTTCAGGGTTTAGTGGCTTGGGGTGTAGGGTCTAGGCCTTAATTAAGGTTGAGAGTTAAGGGTATTCAGGGTTTAGGGTCCAGGGCTTAGGGTTTCGGAGTGTAGGGGTTATTGCCTCTAGGTATCTAACATCCCGTCTCTGTTGGATTCGACCGCCCTTCGAGTAGGCCCTAAACCCTAAACCCTAAACCCTAAATCCTACACCCTAAACCGTAAACCCTAAACCCCTAAACCCCTAAACCCTAAACCCTAAACCCTAAACCCTAAACCCTAAACCCTAAACCGGTAGGCGTGAGGCTCATTGCTCAAATTGTCCAGAATCTGAATCCTAAACCGCAAACCCTATAGCGGTACCCAATACCCTAAAAGCCTGAGCCCTTACGTCTAAGGGATAAGAATCTGAAGCCACCAACTTGAGTCCTCAGGTCAACCTGAAGACAGCAACATACTGTAGGGGCCTCAGTAATTAAAAAGGGTTTTGGAGTGTATGATACTATAACTATAATAAGAAAACCCCCAAAATAAGATAGGGAACTAATAAGGCCCCCTGTACTATCCGAATGTGAGCTCTCCAGGCTTCGGATGCTGTGGAGGACACAGGACCACGAACCCTGGCAACCTCAACATCATGTCAGAAGGGCCTAGCTTAAACCAACGGCTTAGCGTTTAGGGTTTAGGGTTTAGGGTTTAGGGTTTAGGGTTTAGGGTTTGGGGTTTAAATCAGTGAAAGGTGGGTACAGGCAACTTCGTCCACAACTATAATGGAAGAGCCAAGCGAGACAACTACCCCCCCTTTGTGAAGAAATCTTCACACCGGGATAAGAAACCCCACAAAGCCTAAAGGGTAGAGGTAGAGTGGGCTCCTAAGCATTGCGACAATTTAGGCTGGCACCCCTTGGCAATAAAGCTGAACAGGACTTGCTGCGAAGTGAAAACAACCAAAAACAAATGCTTCTAAGTAACCCCTCGCCAGCCCAGAACCCAAACCCCAAACCCCAAAAGCCAGACCAAAAACCTAAAACCCCAAACCCCAAACCCTCAACCCTAAAACTAAACCCCCAAAGCCCCTTCAACCCTAAACCCCCAACAACCCCCAACCACCGCCTTATACTCTAAGCCTCTTAACGCTTGCCGAGCTGCGCTCCTCGGACGGCCGTTGAAGTCTTGGCACGGGGGGGCTTGCGCTCAAAGGGTCTAAGGTCTAGGGTCTAGGGTCTAGGGTCTGGGGTCTAGGGTCTAGGGTTTAAGGTTTAGGGTTTAGGGGTTTAAGGTTTAGGGTTTAGGGTTTAGGGGTTTAAGGCTTAGGGTTTAGGGGTTTAGGGCTTGGGGTTTAAGGTTTACGGTCTAGGGTTTAGGGTTTAGGGCCCAGGGTATCGGGTTTAGGGATGACGGGGAGGAGTAGAAAAAAGGGTCCTACAAGGGGTCCATGGCGTTAAGGGATGAGGTTTCTCTTACGAGGTGTGTATATCGATGTTTTGGCGCGCTTATTACGTGTGCTGACTGGATTTTACAAGGGTTCTGTGGGGGATTATACAGGTTCTTTCAGGATGTGAAAAGCTGACTAGAAGGTCCACACCGCGGACTGTGGACTCCAGCTAGGTGGTTGTCAAAATTAGGGTCCCTTTTTGGGGTACCCTAAATATTAGGTGCCGTATTATAATAAGGACCCAAAAAGGGACCATAATTTTGACAACCACCCAGCTCGCATCTATGAGGCTAGTCTGAATCCTGCATCTAAGTCACGCTGCCTCTCCCCAAATCTTGCCAGCTCCTGCACCCTAAACCCTACACCCTAACCTCCCCCCCACCAACAAGAGTCAAACAGAAAACATAAGCAAACTTGAGTCAAGTGCAGACACTGGAGGAGACCACCAGACTCTGTGCAGGCTAAAAATGAAGCGACCAAAGCAAGGGTTCAAGGTTCGTGGGGTTGGGATTACCCTATAGTATCAATTCTAGTCTGTTGGTTACAAGTTTACAATTGAGAATCTAAAATAACAAACAACATGAGCAACCCTAAACCCTAAACCCCTAAAGGAGCTAAATGGCGACTTGGGGTGGGCGTGTGGGGCCGGCCAAAAACTGCAGCATTCCTAATAAAAGACACAGTAAAATTATCACAGCAGAGCAGCTCCAGTCACCAGCATAAATGGTCCATGGCCGATTGTCGCCCACTGATCGCTTATGGTCGGCATCCAGCTGCCTGGGGGCTTTGGGCTTAGCTAAACAGAGGCACTGGTAACCCGAAACGCTTGGGTCGAATTGCGCATGAGCTTTCGGATTTCGTTATCAACGCGCACAGGATCCGTGTGACTTACAGAGGCTTCCATGCTAGGAATCATGACCATGGCTCACGTATGTATATTCTCCGTGTAAGAACTTAAGACCCTTCGGAGTGGTGATCCTCTAAACTCGATGCCCTAAACTCATTGACCTCCTTTTCAACACGCTCTTGACCTCCCGATCGAAGTTTCTTTGGGTTATATAAAGCTACTAGCCCAAGCAAGCAGCTCAGCCCAAACTGTTGAAGGGAAAGTCGCTTGTAAGGGGGGTGGCTTCAACGTTCTATGTTCACGCGGTTTTCGGTCCCTCACTTCGGGGTCCGGGAAGGCGGGAAGATCGCTGTGTCGTCTCCTTCGCATAAACTCACGCAGATACCGAGATGCTCCACCAAAGCATCACCGTCTATCGTGATGTTCAAGATCCGCCTTGGCAAGGGCATCCTACGATCTGCCTCGAAAGGGGGAGAGTCTGGCAAGGTGTGCGGGGAATTCTCTGGCACCGCGTTTGAACATAGACTCATGCCTAGGTCTAGGCCATGATTGTAATAGCTTTCTTATTCTTTGGTAAAAATGACACATAATCACTTTACAATCCACAAGCAGTCCTGAAAACCGGTATTTCAAAATAAAAACCACCAAAACCCCAACCCCCCCCCCCCC